TATTACAGTAGATAATTAAAAAAAAAAATAGAAAATACATAAGGTACCTATAGTTGATAATATATATTTCCACAATCATTCATAAGTTGTCTACTTCACTCAAGGCTATTTAATGTTCAATTGATAGATCTATTTTATAGTATGAATCAGTACTCTGGGTTCTATTGATAGCAGTAGAAACTCTGCATCGTTCATACCTACTGAAACTAAATACTGACCAACATCTGCACTACTACCATCTAATTATACAAAAGTACGGACTATTCCCTCTTCTAATTAGTATAGATAGAGAAGTTGAGGTAAATTTGTTATTTTTGAGAAAACTAGTTGATGGGAATATCTATGCATTGTTTCCACTCGCCCCACTCTATTCTCAAAAATACATTTTAAAGTTCCTTCCCAAATCATTCGGATTGTAAAAGTGTTTGATTTCATAGAGAAGTTTACTTTGCCCCGGTCAGAGCATATATTCAATATTTTTGTAGTTTTTAATATATTTCATATTAAAAATGTGGACAAGTGGGTACAGCTCTGCTGTTCAATATAATTGTCAGGCGGGTTAAATTTGAATTCAAGGATAAATTATTGCATACGATAAACAATTCTGAGCTGTGAAATTGTGCCATTCTACCATGCTTATATAAATAGACATATTTAGTAGGTATTTAAGAAATATATTAATACAAATTGAAATTATCTCATGGTTATAAATATCGTTACTTAGATGTAAACTATTTTTTTATTAAAGATGAAAAAACTATTTGGGAATCTTCTGTTTAAATTTCTTATGTTAGCTATGAAATGAAAAACTCTTATAAATTTCTAACTAAAAAATAATTTGCAAATTTTTGGGGTTTTGATGAATTTTATCAAAATTTGAACTTTAAATGCATATAAAAAACAATCGTGCCTATGTATCATTAATATTTTTTAACTGCTATTAATGAAATTTATGGGACTATTGAATTAAATGTTGATGCTATTTTACTAAGAACAAAAGTTTTAACCGACACTTACTTCAAAAAATATTTACAAAATTTGAAATATTATTCATGGCTATAAACAACTTAAAAAATGTATATGGAAAATACTAATATAAATATTTGGTGAAAATGTCAACTGTCAAGACGTATCTATACGGTTATTAGATATTGCGTTACACCAAATAAAATCAATTTTTCAAGAAGATATTTTTCATATCTTTCATATCATATTTTTAATTTTTTGTTTTTCCCGACGCTTTCTCAAAAAAATATTCAATTTAGAACACCATCAGAAAACACAAACTAGATCCAACTTTGAACTAGATTAAATTTCTAACAGAATATATGCTGATCTCGAAAATTGGAGCATTTTGCATCTCTAAATGTTAATAACAGAAAGAAAAAAACACATCACACATTTACGAGTGCGATATATTTGAAAGTTAGAGTTTAGTTTACAGTTAATGAATAGAAATAATATCGTTGGAAAATGTATGCATTCCATACTTCTCATAGTGGACCACTTTGTAAGAAGAATGGCCATAAGGCATATAAGACAAATATATTTTATAAAATAAAGCTAATTACTTATATTTACTTACCATCTGTAGCTGGAATAAAATAAAAATTGTATTTATTAATTATAAAGTATTCATAATAATATAATATTGTCAACGTGTTGTTATTATTTCACTTTTCTCCTACCATCCTACAACTAGTAATTCAACCTCTTTATGCGGGATCACTAAAGATTGAACTAACAATTACAAACATGTAATCTAACAAGTCTAATACCAATATTGAAATTTAATTGTTAATGGTTAACAAGTTTTTTTAAGAACCCTGAAAATTGAATGTAGCCATGTAGGCATTAAAATAACATGCACATCAACAATCTAAATTATATTTGATATTATATAAACAATAAACAAGAGTCTTAAACATTATACACTACTTGTGAAAGATTCATCTAATATAAAATAAAATTATTAGGTACTAAAAATAAATATAATAACTTACAGAGATCGACTATTAGAAAAAAAATAATTTATAGGTATAAATATAAAATATTCCTAAAATCTTATAATAAAGATGAAAATCTAGTGATTTATTTGAAAATTTCTCAATGAATGTAATACAAATATTTCAGTGGGGACGGAATGGCCGAGATGCCGAGCGGACTAAGACTTCGGTTGCACTTGAAAATTCTGCCAAAACAAACACACACGTGTTCAAAACCTACAGTACCCTCCCCTCAATAGGATACCAAAATTGTAATTTAATAGTTTTTGGTAGAAATGAACAACAAAATTTGATCTTAATTTGTATTGAAATATTTTAGTTTATTAATTAGTTATATATTTAAATAAAGTTTACAATAAAATTATAATATAATCATATTATCATATTATTATGTTATGATATCATATTAGGATATAGTAAGTAATGAATAACATGAGAAACGTGAATAAAAAAACTAACCAGCAGTAGTACTTTTGGGCTTATTGATATAAAAAATAAAACAAAATAATATTTATTTTTCTTTATACTCTATTTATTAATTAATTATCTAAAACTTGGATTTCATTAAAAGTAACTAGTAATGGCTTGTGAGTGAATATTCTGGCATAACTTTAATTAGCGTCTAGAATTTTATTAAATTTAATAAATTATGACGAAGTACAATAACTAACGAAGGCACGGCATATTATACTGTCTTAAACCCAGTTTCAGTTGCGCCTATTTTATACCAATACGAGATTTTTTCTCCCTGGCCCCCTCCGTCCAAGCAGTAAATAAATAAACTCAATAGTTATAACCATAAAAAAAAAGGTTTTTTATTATTTGAAAATATGTAATTAATAATTAAAATAAATAAAGAAGAATAAGAAGTATCAAAAAGGTAATTTTATGTTAATATATAACATAATTTGGTAGTTGGTGATTGTATTAGTGACATATAACGTTATAATATAACTAGTGTTTCAGATTTGAAAAGTTTATTTTCTATGATTACCAATTCGTTAAAAAACTTTTTTGAGAAAGACAATTATTGGTTTTATTAATTTACTAAGAAACTTTCAAACAAAATTAGTTTATAAAGACCAATGAAAAAAAAAACAAATAAAATGTTTCATACCTTCCCCTGCTGGATAACAACGAAAACATATTAATAATAATCATATTATCATCATATCATATTATTTGTCTAAAAATGTTTAATGAAAGGCCTAAGAAGAAAAATGTAACTACTATCAAATTAACACAATTATTGGTGTAATAGACTTATTTTAAAATTAATTATAAATAATATATATTCGTCATAGCATTATAATAAACCAATAAAAGAACAATACAATCGAACAATGTACTAAAATATTTTATAATTTAATATGAATAATATTATTAAATTTTATATCATCCGAATCTTTAGCATTTCGTGGGCTTGGAACCAAAAGATAATTATTAAGCTAGCTAAAAATTGAAAATTCTTCAGAAGATCAATTTAAAACTTGTACAACAACTGTATTCTCATTTCGTAAACTATGATTTTTCATGATTGTCAAATCTCTAATTTATTTTACCACGTAAATAAGACTTCTTGGTTGTAACCATAGAGTATTACTCTATGGATGTAACAATATGTAACACGAACTAAAAAGGTTCTATTTATACTCTGCCCAGACTCCAGAGAGAGAACACGTCATGGCCCGACCAAAATCGGTCTACACCCTACCAACAATCGACGGCGCACTCTGACGACCATCGGGCATCGGCACTTCTCGACGACGACCGTCTTCAGAACACCTAGAGAGAGGGAAACGAGATCTCGGCAATCGTTCGGTCGTCAGTACTCAGTTCACATGCACAGCACCGGCGCGTTCTCTCGCTGAACAGTATAAAGTCATTTAGATCGCTATTACATTTTTTTTTTTTTTGCTTAATACAGGCTATTTAGACACATTGCTGTAATTATCACTTCTTCCCATCGTTCTCTGTCTTTCACCATTTCTTCGGAACTCAGTATTCACTACTATCAAATTCAGGTCCTGATGGACTTGGTCCCACCATCGTTTTATCAGTCGTCTCAAGTGTTCGGGTTCGTTAGGTGCTTTGATTCCATACCGATCAACGCTGGCTTATTCATAGTTTTGCTATTTATCTTTCCGTGTCTACTGTTTCAGAGGATTCTATGTCTTGGTAGTAGATGTTAAAGGGTTAAAAAGTTAAATTATAAGTGATATATATCCTTTTTTTTGCTTTGCATGTTGAGGGCTTAATAATGGAGTACCAGGGGTGAATTGAACTTTGATGGTATGGCACTGGCTATGAGGAAGTCTGGGTCCCTTTTGATCTTTTTAACTTCGAAATTATATGATAGTGAATGTCAGGTGATCGATCTAATGTGACTCTTATATGTATTTAACGTAATTTTACCCATCGACAAAGTTTTTTTGGTGTGTGTGCACTGTTACAAATTACAATATAATATATAAAAAGTAAATTTCAATAACACAATTATTTAGTACCTTTTGATTCCGAGCACACAAAATGCGTTGATACAAATTTAAAATTTCACACGAATTAACTTATAAAACTTCTAATTCAGTCAAACTAAATAAAAATAACGCACTTACCTATTTGCACTAAAACAAAATAATTTAATGATATTGTTACTAATATATGTTATAAAATATTATGGTAACTTATGGTGGATTATGAGTAATTAATTATAAATAAATTATCAAAATTTAACAATATATAGTTGAAGATCATATTTATAATTTATCAACCTTATTGTTCTTTAATGAACTACACAATTTGATTCCTATACATTATAATGGGTACATATACAGTACCTACTGTTTGCGTATTCAGCTATATTTTTATTGATCTTTTCAAATTTTGAAATTTTGAATTCTATTTTGATATAAGCCTTATACAATTAATTATGTTGTTGGGTAAATAAATCTTTAAAATAAATGCTAAGAGTTTCAACTTTATTATCAAAATGTTATGAGTATAGTTTCAAAATTAAATACTTTTATTCCGCTTTTATTCACTTCTGGTTTTGATATTATTGCTTTCACTGAAACATTGCTTCATCCATTCATATCTACTGCTGAACTAAACTTCAAGAACTACACAATCTTTTGCGGTGATAGATGTTCACTCAACAGCTCAAGTGGTCAAAGCGGAGGTGTGTTGATTGCAATTAAATCCACCTTAATATGTACATTTTTAAATGTTTCTGTTAAAAGTGTCGAACACGTCTTTGTGCAACTAAATTTAGGTCCTAATACTTTGATTCTAGGTTGTGTTTATATTCCAACTCTTTCTCCTTTATCATTATACGAACAATTTTTTGTAGCTGTTAATGAACTTTTTATATCTAATCCAAAAGCAAAATGTATTTTATAAGTTGATTTTAATCTACCCTCTTTAAATTGGTCACCATATACGTTGCCAATAGTTTGTAATTCTCCAATAGACTCTTATTTTATTAGTATGTTATTTATGTTATTAATCAATTTAATTTAATACCCAATCACAATAATGTTACTCTAGATTTAGTCTTATCTAATATCCACCTGTTCGTCACTAATGACCCTGACCTATTGTTGCCTATTGATAATCACCACCAAGGACTTTATATCTCGTTGAAATATGAGCAGTTTAATATCTTATCGACTCCATATGATATAATTTATGATTTTAAAAATTGTGATTACATCAGAATCGTAAATTATATCGGCGACTCACTTAATATTATTAATTCTACCTCATCCGACATCAATCAACGTCGTAGTCGATCATCATCTGTATAAAATATTCCACGATGCTATAAATATTTTTGTTCCTAAGAGACGTATAAACATTAATGCTAAATGCTCAATTTGGTATTCCAAATCTTTAAAATTAATTTTAAAAGAAAAAAAAAATCTCCCACCTTATCTATAAAAAATATAAAAACATCGATGATTATATTCATTTCTCTCGTTTAAGGGCTAAATATAAAAGACTCGCTAAATCTGATTATAAAAATTTTATAAATAAGGTTCAATCTTCTATAAAAAACAATCCAAAATATTTTTGGTCATTTGTTAAAAATTCTACTGACAATAATGCATTACCTCAATCATTATCTTTAAATACAAGAGTTGTTAATAATGGTACAGATATCGTTAATCTTTTTGCTAAATATTTCTCTGATGCCTACTCTGCTGTACACCCCCCTCTTAATTCTTCTTCTCTAAATATTAATAACTTAAATTTAAATTTCGACTTAAATATAAATTCCGTCTCCTTCACTGAACTCGATGTTCTTAATTTGATCTCTAATCTCAAACTTAGTTCTAGTTCGGATCCAGATGGTATACCTTTTTTTTTTTTATGTAATTGTAGGTTTATCTAAACACCAGTTTTAACTAATATATTTAAATTATCTCTTAATAAAAGAATTTTCCCTTCAGTTTGGAAAACTTCATTTATTTCGTCAATTTTAAAAAAGGTGACATGTCTCTAATTTCAAATTATTGCGATATCTCTAAGTTATCTGTTATACCGAAACTATTTTCACATTTAATCTCGTCAAAATTATCAAACTATTGCTCATCATTACTTTCAATTCATCATTATGGATTTATTCCCAAACGTTCTACATGTAATAATTTAGTCGTGGTGAAAAATATGGTTCTTCAGTCTTTTGAAGTGAATGCACAAACCGATATTATCTATACTGACTTTTCTAAGGCATTTGACCATGTTAATCATGTAATCCTTATTAAAAAACTTCGGTTAATTGGTATCTCTGGTCCCCTACTTAATTGGTTTCAATCATTCTTATCAGGACGTCTCCCAACCGTTAAATATCTAAAGTTTACCTCTACACAGTTCAGTGTTCCTTCTGGTGTTTCCCAAGATGACTACCTCTCAAGTCTTCTTTTTAATATATGTATAAATGATCTTCTTAGTGTTATCGCAAATTCCAATATCCTTCTCTTTGCTGATGACGAAAAATTAGTAATAATTATTATGTCTGAGCAAGATGCTATTAATTTACAACTGGATATTAAGAGCTTACGTTTGTGGTGTAACGCGAACCAGATATTTTAAAATGTTCGCAAATGTAAATTTATGAGATTTTACCTAATAAAGAAGCCTTTTAATTTTCAATACTCAATTTCTGTATCTATAATATTGAGCTAGTTAATCAAGTTTTGATCCAAAATTAATTTTTCTCTTCATATCAAAATGATCAAAAATAAAGCTTTTCGCAACTTGGGTTTCATAAAACGTACTTGTGGTACATTCTCAGATCCTGTTTTCTTAAAAATCCTCTACCGTTCTGTTGTCCGTAGTAACCTTGAGTACTGCCCCCTCATTTGGATAAATAATACATCAAAGCAAAATATTATGATAGAATCTGTTCAAAATAACTTTTTACATTTTATCTCTTTTAACTTTAACATCAATAGACTTCTTCACATATAATTGTTTTAAATTTTCTTAATATTTCTTTACTCTTTGATCGTCGTTCTTTTTTACTCTCTAAATATTTTCAAAAGCTGATATTAGGTTTAATTGACTGTTATGAAATTCTTTCTTTAATCCGTTTTAAAATTAATAGTCTTAATACTAGAGATCCAAAACCCTTCTATCCTCTTTTCTCATCTAAAAATTATATACTTACATCTCCTGCTAACCTTTTGATGGCTGAGGTTAATACTTATGTCTTTGAATATATTTGATTAACTTTTGTTATATTTATTATGTATTCTATATTTAATTATAAGTTTTCTTATTATATACAATCTTAAATTATAATATCAATTATAATTTATTATGTGATGTTTGTTATCTTCTGCACACAATGTTTATACTATTATGTTTTAGGACGCACGTTCGTTTATATTTAAAAAAAAATAAAAAAATAAAATAAAAATACTTTTCTCGCTCCTGTCAGAAGCTACAATTTTAAAAGATACGTTCCACACAAAATGACATTACCATGTAGATACCTGTTTTATGTAAAAAATAAATTAATAATATACGTACGATTGTTTGCTGTAAACGGTAATGTTAAATTAATTCATAACTAGGTATGTAGGTACATAGTATTTTCTATATTCATTCATTATATTGAAATGTTTATTTTATCATGATTAATGTAAGAAATTTATATTCTAAGAAAAAAAGTTTTTCAGACTATTGTTATACAATTTTATACTAAACTTTAATAATTCATTTATCATATTAAATATGGTAAAGGTAAATTAAATTAATTAATTAGTTCAATATTCAGGTAATAAGTATTATCGACGATCGTCGTTACCATGGGATTGTAGATAATATTTATTATGTCGGCCTGTGTTATTAAATAAAAGGCACGGTTCGCCAGTTCGATCTCAACGACGCGTCGGTGACAATTCCGGTCGATATATGCTACGTAATGTAATAATCATTAATCCCATATCTTTAGAACAATTAAAATAGTGTTAATTATACAAATTATTATTCAACTATTATCAATAAATTGTTATCATTCAATTATACAGCCCACTAGTTTATTTTTTATATACTAATTCAAATTCAAACTGAGCAGAAACAAAATTAAAACCACCCTTCTGAAAAGGACACGGTGACGTCTGGAACTCTGCAGAACACGTACGACTTACAACAGTAATTATTGTGGACAGTATCGAATAGTATAGCCACTGTGCCACTCTTATTAAAAGGTAATACAAGAGTACAAGACATAATTAAAATATTGTTCTGTATAAATCTATATCCCTGTGTGAATAAAGAAGAAGTTACCGACTATCATCTACGTGCAGTCTGTTTTTACTCTCAAAAATGATGGTACATTGTAACAAACGTCAAATAGTTGTACAGAAATAAAATGTCATTATGATACCGATACCTAGGTATATAACTCCTTGCCGCAGCTGTATAAGAGAATTTCATATGTAATAATTAGTGTTTGAAAATTTCATGAAATTTAAAAAAATGAAATATTTCAAAATATGTGAAATATTTCAGTATTTTAATATATTTTGTTTTATTTTTAAATAAGTTTTATATTTACATATAATTGTCATAAATTACCTTCATCACTATATGGTACCTGTATGTATACCTAACCTTTGGTATTATACATTTAAATTGGTATTCAAAATTTTTAAATATTTTAATGTTTAAATGATACAAGTAGGTATACAATATTATAAATGTATATTGTATACTTACTGAATTCTGACATTAGAATTTAGAACACTGAACATTGTGTTATAAAAAAAAATAAATAGTGTTTTTATTTGTGTTAAAAAAAATTTCAATGTTTCAAGTTTTTGTGAAATATTTCACAACTTAGTGAAATATTTCAAAATGAAATATTTCTCATACTTCAAACACTAGTAATAATACATAGAAGTTACTATTGAGAAGTCAAAATAATTTATGATTTATTGATATGTGACATAACAGAGAAGTTACAAAAACTACGTATGAAATGGTGGAGGGGGTTGAACACTCCCGCCTGACTACGCCACTGGCTTATAATATAATTACACAAAGTATTAAAGTTTAGTTTAGGTAATTCAAAAACAAAAAATTCAAATTCAGTTTCAAATTCAATAATTGAATAGTTAACTTTATACTTTAATATATTATAATACTGAATATTTTTTATACCTGCACTAAAAAACAAACTATTCAAAGGTAAACAATTAACCGTGAATATTGTACCTTATTATCCTTATTTAGAAATACAATTATTGTAAAGTATTAGGAATAAGATTATGACTGGTCGCGCAGGCAAAACAACTTCCTCCACCGCTTGTGCTTCTAAACCACTTCCAGGGGATTGGGGGGGGGGAACCAATCAAAAACCAGATCTTATTCCGCGGCGTGTATAATTGAAAACAACGAATCAAATGTCTGTAGTAATAAGCAATAGCGTTTGAAAACACGAAACTATGATTTATTTTCGGCCGTGTTGTGTTTAATCACATGTTTAAATTGTTATTGCATAACATTTTACGTTTTAATCATCTAAACTATTGTGTTTTAAATTAATATAAGAACCTGAACCAATTACAAGCACAGTGTATTCGAACTAATTTTGGATTTTTCAACTAGCCATTATAAAGAAGAGGAGAAATAAAAATATTACAATTAACATAAAATATACTTACTAAAATCGACTACAAAAAAATAATATAATATAATATACGATATTTATTAATAATATAATTATATGCAATATGAAATATTGCAATGCATAGTATTGTATACTGGTGTTTAATATAATATGATGGACGTCCCATATTATATAGATATTCTTTACCACTAATGCAAATTGATGACTTTTGATGTGTGGGTATTAATAATAGTTATTGATTACCTATATTATATTGGCTTGTGCATATTTGAGAATATTGTTAAAATACTCTTATTATTTTGTGTGCTTCACATTTCAATTATATTATGTGCTTTTGGATTTTGGTTTATGGTATCAACCTTATTTGCTTTTCTAATACAGAAACATTAAATAAAGATAACAGCAATTGAAATTTCCATTTTTAACGTGACATTTTTGTAAAGAACTTTTCATACACTTAAAGAAAGATAAACACTGTACATAAGCACGATTAGATCTTATTTTTTTTGGTTGTATAATACTTGTATTACAAAACAAGTACAAAACATGCAATTCTGATATTAATTTTTTTTCATTTGGTAAGGCCATGGAATTATTTGGGGAAGGGGATAAGCCATCCTTAGTTGTGCCTATGTTAATTTACAAAATGTACTTTTATGTTTGCATCTTTGATCTTCGATAACTATACATATCTATAATTAGTATAATTGGAGTTTCGACACTGAATCCAATGGACGAAATAATGAATACTATAATACAATCTTGAAATCTCACACATCATGAAATATCATATTTTAGTAATATAAAAACTAAACAAAAAATTACGTACCAAGAGTAGCTGGAATAAAATAAAATAATTATTAATAACTATAGACAATTGTATTAGAAAATGTCAAAGAATTTTATTTTAAAATTTAATAAATACTAATAACTTTGTTTAGAAATGAAGGTAATAACAAAAAAATTGAATAGCACTAATATAAGGTAGACATGAAATTTATTATATTGTTATTATTGTTAATTGCTTTAAGTTATTTTTATTATGTGGTTTGAAAAAAATCAAACTTGATATAAATACAAAACAAGGGCTATGATTTTCCTGCGAAAATCGGATATTAAATATTTTTAAAAAATAATAACAAAAGTGCTACGGATTTGATTGTTTTCATTTATAAAGTAGCCGGTAGCATATAATAATAACATGCGCACCCCGGACACCTAATTGCTCACCACCAACACTTATAGGACAGGTCTTAAATATGCGAGGACTAGCTGGGTGTGTAGTGGTGTAATAGCTCGAACAGCAGTGGTCGGGATTGCCGGGCAAATACTGTCGAGCTACGTAATGCGTGTAGTGTATTTATGTGTATTATTTGTGTGTTATGTGTGTATATATGTGAGTGTGTGTGCAGTAATTAAACTGAAATTAAAAAATGGTTACACGATTGCTGGTAAATAACTAGTTGCTGTATAATACAAAATCTAAATAATAATGATATAAATATATAAAAAAATCACAGCAACACAGTAGGTATAAAAATATAATATAAATAATAAATCAAAGCCCTTATGGCTATAATAGTATATAATATATTGTGACCCTTCTGGCCAGACAGAAAAAATGTATATATAAATGCCCGGCCCTTATGGCCAAACAAATAACAATTTAATATGATGGCAGCTAAAATGGTGAAAATGGCAGTAAATCAGTATAAGCATAAATGATACTAAATAATGTATATTATAAAATGCACAGCAATATAATAAATAATAAAAATAAAGGTATAATTCACTGTAGCTATTAGAGCTATGTGAAAATATAAAAAGATTAGCTCTTCTGGCTCAACAGAATAGTAATAATATATAAAATAATGCGTGCAAAATAATGGCCAAACAAGATATAAATTTAATGTTTTGTAAAATTGCAGTTATTAAATATGAAAATAATAATAAT